ATCATTAAAAAAATGAGGCTTCTTATTTGCCATACTTTTAGAAGAAAGCCTTTTTAATTTGCAGCAGCTTTTTGATGACCTGGTTTTCCTTAATTGTAGATCAGGTCTAGGTCAACGTCAGGTTTGCTTTGTTTTCCTCTAGAACTCTCAGATCTGTCATCCGTAGCCTTGCATTACGCAGCACAACTAAATGGAACTCACAGTTCTTCTGTGCACAAACCTACTTCTGATAATAGTAATCTTTATTAATTCTAGCAGAGTAATTTAGGGTGTGAAGGGGGATATTGTTTAGGGATCAGAACCCTTGTTAACCTAAAGATCATTTAGTACAGCTACATGTTCCATCTGCTTACTCATAGATGACAAAGACAGAGGAACAAGGGACTTTGTTCCATTTTCTTTTCGTTTTCACTTTACATATGCTTCCCTTTTTCATCTTTTTCAAGCTTTCATCTTGGAAAAAATGTTATTTCTAGGCATTTTCTGGGTTCTCCAGTGCAATTCTCTGGCATGCTTTGGGGGAAGTTACAATAGAATTATGCTAGAAATGCAAGAGAGGTGTTCTCTAGACATTTTCTAGGTCCTCCAGTGTGATTTTCTGGCATGCTTCTCCTCAACATTGACCACAGAATCATGCTGGAGAACCTAGAAATGCTAGGGCAGTGTTCTGTCCAGGAATTTTCTAGGTTGTCCAGTATGATTCTCTGGAAGTTGTTCATTTCAGTAGGACTTGCTCTTGCAATTTCATATTTCCATTTTAAAACCATGTGGATGTAGGGGTCATATTGTATTCTTTGCAGTTTTTTAAAAAAGGAATAAACAGGAGCAATTTCTTAAGTTTGCCTCATGCATGTGCCATTAGAAGCCTTTGATAATTTCTGCTCTCTTTGTATTATCTGGTCTCTCTGTATTCTTTTTAAAAACTCTGACCAAAACGAATGATCTCGCTGAACTATCCAATTCACACTTCATGCCCAGACAGTGTGTTGTTCAGGACCTTTGTATCACTACTTAAGAAGTCTGCACTGTTAACATTCTTGTAAAATGACATTAGAACTAGTTTCTGTTGTGCAAACAGGACAAGCATACTTTGTTTCTCTGACTGATAGCAGAGGATAAGAGTTACTGGAAAGGTGCCGCCAGTCTTCTCCAAGGAAGAATACTGGGCAAAAGAAAGACCAGACCATTGCCCGCAGAGCTAGTAGCTTATTTCTCTGCTTTTCTGCAATAAAAAAAAAATACAGTGCTGACTTCCAGTTGTCCTGATACTGCCAAAAGCAGGAGAAGGAAGCTGTTACCCACCAGACGGAATGTTTTGGACCATAATGCAGTTATTTCACCTCGATTTAAACAAAAGGGCCAGTGCAGAAAGGTCAGACTGCTCTGGCTAAATACTATGTTGTTTTAACAGTATCGTTGATCTCTCTCATAGAATCATAGAATATTAGAGTTGGGTCACCTAGTCCAACCCCCAGCCATGCAGAAAAAGCACAATCAAAGTATCCCTGACAGACAGCCATCCAGCCTCTGTTTAAAAGTTTCCAAGGAAGGAGCTTCCACTACACTCCCAAGGAAGAGAGTTCCACTGCTGAAACAGGTTTCACAGTTAGGAAGTTCTTCTTAATGTTCAGGTGGAATCTCCTTTCCTGCAATTTGAACCTATTGTTCCTAGTTTTAGTTTCAATGGCAGCAGGAAACAAGTCTGCTCCCTCTTTCTTATGACACCCTTTCACATATTTATACATGGCTATCACGTCTCCTCTCAGCCTTCTCCTCTGCAAACTAAACATGCCCAGTTCTTTGAGACTCTCCTAATAGGGCATGATCTCCAGACCATTGATCATTTTAGTTACCCTCCTCTGGACACCTTCCAGCTTGTCAATCTCTTTTAAACTGTGGTGCCCAAAATTGGACACAGTATTCCAGGCAAGGTCTAACCAAAGCAGAATATAAAAGCACCATGATTTCTCTTGATCTAGACACTCTCCTTTGTTTTTTTTTGTGCCCCTTCCTTTCCATTGTATGTCTTACATTCTTACTATGTAAAAGTGAGACTAGCACCTGCTAGATTATTAACTTCTTTCAAGGATAGTATATTAAAGGTGCAATACATATGTAATAGATGGATATAGAAAGTACACAGTAATTGTTTTTTTAAAACCTTCCATTTAAGGGAATCATTAAATCACTTACAAATTCACTTATGTGTCCAATAATAATAATAATAAACTTTATTTATATACCGCTCTGTCTCCTCTCAGGGCGGTTTCCAAATAACATCACCGAAACATACAAAGTAAGCAACATAACATAAAATTAACAAAACAACATAAGCATAAAATTATCACAATAACACATGTATATTAAAAATAATCCTGCCTGTTCAGAGCAATTAAAAAGCTGGGCCAAGGCTAATGCAAACTCAAAATATGTGGGGGCTGGGAATTAAGTACAGTTGGAGGTGCTTTGAATGCAATTTTCCTGCTTCTTGGCAGGGGGTTAGACTGGATGGTCCATGAGGTCTCTTCCAACTCTATGATTCTATGCTATAACAGGCTAACGGCAATAGCAGGTACAGGTCTGTGGCTGCTCATTTCCAGGGCCTATAAGAAGTGCAAGGAAGAACTTCCTGACTGTGAGAGCCGTTCAGCAGTGGAACTCTCTGCCCCGGAGTGTGGTGGAGGCTCCTTCTTTGGAAGCTTTTAAGCAGAGGCTGGATGGCCATCTGTCAGGGGTGATTTGAATGCAATATTCCTGCTTCTTGGCAGGGGGTTGGACTGGATGGCCCATGAGGTCTCTTCCAACTCTTTGATTCTATGATTCTATGATTCTAAGGCCATGTTCAACAATGTTTGGGGCTGGACTAGAACTGGCCATTCTCAAAGGCTTGTTGAAACCACCAGGTCTTCAAGCTCTTATGAAAGGAGGGGAGGGATGGGGCCTGTCTTATTTCCCTTGGAAGGGTGTTCCAGAGGCGGGGGGTCACCACCGAGAAGGCCCTCTCTCTCATTCCAACCAACCGTACTTGTAATGGTGGTGGGAGTGAAAGGAGGGCCGCCCCGGAAGATCTTAGAGTTCGCATTTAGCCTTAAATTTCCTGTTGTCCTAGGAACATTTCCTCTGAGCTCTCATTATGCATACTTACATCATAACCTTCATGCATTTACTCTTTTCCTTGGCCTTCTGACCCCAGTCTTCTTCCTTCCTGTTGTCTTACTTCCTGCTATTGTTGTTGTTGTTGTTGTTGTTGTTGTTGTTGTTACTATTATTATTACAAAGGCTGGATGGCCATCTGTTGGGAGTGTTTTGATTGTATTTTTCCTGCATGGCAGAAGGGGGTTGGACTGGATGAACCCAGGGTTTTCCATTGAAATATTATTAAGTTTAAGTTTGTTTAAAATTGTTCTTCATTTTAAATATTGTATTCTTTCTTTCCATACCTTTTTTTTTTCTTTTTTGCACTGTGTAAATTAGTTCACACAAACATTCTCCATCCATCTGGTACTGGCCTGGCCCATGCCTGATATATGTACATTATACATAATATAATATAATATTTTATATGGGGCTCCACAAGCAACTTTTGCTTCAAAAGGGGCTCAGTGGCTGAAAAGGTTTGAGAACCCCTGCTCTACAATCATAGCCCATCGTTCAAATCTCAACATACTGACTGCCATATTTATCATGTATTCATCATGAAATTATTGCACTTAAATCATTTTTGGAACACATTGCTATTATTACACACACACACACACACACTTCTTGCCTGTACACTGAGGATGTTTCCTGATATGAAGTCAGCATTGTTTGTGGCTAGCAGCATTCAGTTGGTGTAAGGTTACTTCCTCTTTGTCCTCTCTCTGACAACTCCAGAAAAGGATTGTTTCTAGCAACTGAAACTAGTTTTAGCTTTCACACATTCTTTAAGTAAAACATTGTACGGTTAACCCATTTCAGGGTGAATGGCAGTAAGGTTCCCAATAGTGGTTAGATGGCCTTCCAAAGCAGAGTCCCAGAAGCTGCTTTGTGCATGGGTTGGAAAGGATTAGTAGAGTGTTAAAAATAACACAGAGATGATCAGTTTCAGTAAAGGTTTGGCTTGGTTGGGGATGAATTTGAAAAATACGAGGTAAAAAATTCCTTTGCCCCCTGCGTGTGAGGAATTTGTCTTCTGCTTGTTCAGTCCTGGATTAATTTTTGTGTGTGTTTATTTTTCAATTTTTCTGAAGGTATCTTCACAATAATCAGACAACAAATGTGAAGAATACATTATCAACAAAATGGAAGTAAATGGAAGACACCTTTTGGAGGGGATTTCTATACAACATAATTTCTAACTCCAAATCAGCTGTTTTATATCCTGTAGAAGGCACTCATAGCGATTTATAAAAGGGAAAAGAGAACCTTGACATACAGGAAATGAGAGAGTCCAAGTGATTATGCAAAGATGTCCTGCTTTTCTCATACATCACTAATCCTCCTATATTTCTACTTCTTAATCTTTTTCCTCTCAAGAAAGAGCCATTATAGCTTAAAAATGCCTTCATGTGTCATTTGGCAATATCAGAGTTTGAAAAATGATAAGCTTTTAAGGAACTAATTTTTTGTATTTGGTACCTTTTGGGAACAAACTCTACATATGTGAAAGAATTTAAAAATTGCTGATCCTGTAATTTCTTCATAGCACTAAAACCCCTGTTTTCTTGCTGTGGCAGGGAAGATGAGCTTATGAAAAAGAAAGCTTTTAGTGGGAATCTAATAGTTTTATCTTTATTGTATTTTACATCTCAGCTAGCTTCTCTTAAAAATAGAGATGATAAGATTGAAAGATGGAAAACTTTGTAGCCAGTTATTTGGAAGAACGCTATCAGTTGGAATGTATCCTCAGTTTGCATTCTACAGTGTAGTCATGTATGAGCGAGTTAATGATGAAGAGTGCTCATGTCTACTTTACTACTTTGGATGTCTTAAATTATATTTTTGTGTTTTCAATATAGGTTTGTAAGCGAATGGATTTGGTCTGCCAGAGGATGTTGAATCAGGGATTTCTGAAAGTGGAAAGATACCACAATTTGTGCCAGAAACAAGTTAAAGCACAGCTTCCAAGGTATGCACTCACCACAGTTGAAGACCAGAAGTAATCCTTTTTTAAAATTCTGCATGTACAGAAATTATATAAGCTAAGGTGCCTTGCTCATCAGTTTTTCTGTTCCGTGCTGTGAAAACTATATCAGTCTGCCTCCAAATTCTACTGTTGCCTTCAGCCTCTAGTAACAACTCCTGCCTGACTAGATTAGTTCTGGAAAATCCCAGCACCTTGTTTTCTTTTTCTTTCATCAGGTTCACCTCACCTCACCCCTTTCTCCTCTGTCTGGTTCCTTCAACTTTCCAGTTTCTTAAGTAGTGGTGCTGGATGCTTCCATTAGCATTTTTAATGGTTACTGGAAGTTCTTCTTTTTCTCTTCTTTAATTGTACTTAAGTATGCATTTCTTGATTTATTTATTTTTTAAAAAACACTTTATGATACCCAGGAAGTCCAGTATCCAGGGGAGGATATGTCCCCAGGCTAAACGTGGATGCACAGAATTGTAGATAATAGCAAACCCTATTGAGATGAAGGATTTCCAACCCAAGAATATCTGGAATCACTCTGGAAGGTCTAGAAAACGCCTAGATAGAATATATTTTGTCAGACATGGATAATTAAAACCATGGATACTGGTCCTCAATAATAATAATAACAACAGCAACAACAATAAATGTTTTTTATACCCCGCCACCATCTCCCTGAAGGGACTCGGGGCGGCTCACCAAGTGCTGAACATAAAATAAATATAACATATAAACTATAATAGCATACACTTAAAACAGCAAACATACATAAAATGACACATAATAAAAAAAATTAAAATTCATAAAAAAACACAGCTATGCTTTCAGATAAAACTGGCAGTCTTAAATTAACAATCCAAGTGCCAAAGTCCTCACATCTAACAATTCAAATCTACTCAAGGTCAAAGGCCTGTCTAAAAAGCCAAGTTTTTAGACAAGACCAAAAAGCTTGGAGAGTGGGGGCTCTCTCTTGGGAGGGCATTTCAGAGCCGCGGCGCCACCACCAAAAGGAAGGTCTCTCCAGAAATCATCTGTACATCGGAATATACAGCAAAAACTTTAAGAAACATCCCACCTCAGACCAGCAAAGATAAAACAAAGATCATGTGCCACAGTGAGCAAATCTGGATCTGACCATTGATATTTATGTATGTGAGAACAAACATGTATAGGCAATGACATGTAACCTCATAATAGGGTAGCAATATTTGTTATGTGTGCCTATTGGCCATTATTAGACCACTTGTATATTTTAGAAAACATGGAGTTGTTGTGTCAGCAAATATCTTCCAGCTCTCTACAGTTCTAGATTTGCTAAAGTCTTGTGCATTATTTTCTTTCACAAATGTCTATATCAAGTTAAACATCATACATTTAGGTATTTTTGTGTGATCTTCAGCTGTCCCTTCCGGCAACAGCACTTTGGAGTCATGTTTTAGCCTTTGGGTTGAGAAGCAATTTTTAGCATAAGAAAGGGAACTGAAGTCAAAAGCAAAGGTGCAAGAACTCTTAATATTTAACTTTTCTGTTCCCACTTTTCTTAACCCAGGATAGCAAGCCTGGCCAATGTCATTGGTATCTGAGTTCTTAATGAAAAAACTGCTGACAGTACTCCCCTGAGATAATGTTTAATTGGTTGTGCATACATGCTTACTATTGACAGCAGATTTTAGGACCTGAAACATAACCTACTGTATACTGAGGACAGGGGGAGAGCAACTTCAGCTATTTTCTGTGAAAATAATGTATGAACTGCTTCTGTTTTGTCTGTTTTTAGAAGTAATCAGAATGTATTGTGAAATAACACTGTAAGGTGTAATGAGTGAATAAGACATCAGAAATTGAGAAACAGGAAAACATGGGGGGAAATGTTAAATAAGAAAGGACTTTTTCCTCAGAAATATGTAATGACTCCTAAGGAGAGCTTTTGGGGAAGGCAGGAGAAGGTAAAAGAACTATAGAGTTTTTATATGCCTGCAACATATTCCTGTACTGGTTTTGGGATTTTCACTTGCAATCCACAGTAAAAGGATCTGGATGTTGACATTGTCATGTGATGTTTCATCCATGTCTGCAAACAACAACAATAATAATATAATTACTGTTTTTTCATTACTTGGGTGCAATATTGAAGTTTCATTTTTGTACAGGCAGTCCCCAAGTTATGAGCAAGATAGGATGTATAGGTTTGTTCTTAAGTTAAATTTGTATGTAAGTCAGAACAGGTACTTTTTAAAGTGCAACTCCAGCCAAAAATATATAATTTTTAGCTTTGGCTAGCACAGGCAAGGGTTAACACCCCTGTAGTGTTTGCTTTGCTGCCTCTGCCCCTATTCAGAAGATTTCACCTTATTTTCTGTCTCTATGATAATTAGATTTATAAAAATTGGCTTGTTGTGGAAACAAGGATTGGTGAGAAAGCTTCAATGGAGACACCTTGTCCCCATGATAACTCTTCAGGGGAACAAGGTTTCTCTCACTTTCTGTTGTCTCGCCCCTGTTAACGAAGAGTTGTTTGTAAGTTGGATGTTTGTAACTCGAGGATTGTTTATATTCCAATGAATTAACTTGAATCCGATTTACTGCTTCTGATCCGGCTCACACACATCCATTCTTTGATCAGATTCTTCATCTGCCAGAATTTAAATTGTTTCTCTAATGGTTACAACTTCATGCTTCCACTTTATATTTTTTGATACTTGCTGATCTCAGAAGTGTCTGAAATGGCTGCCTTGGTGTCTTATTTGTTTTTTAGACGGGAATCAGAAAGGAGAAATCACTCGTTAGCTCGCCATGCAGATATTCTTGCTGCTGTAGAAACAAGACTGTCCCTGTTAAATATGACATTTATGAAGTATGTGGATTCTAACCTCTGCTGCTTTATACCTGGGAAGGTAAGAATGCTGCATTAAAGTCTCATGGAATAAAAGAAATTCTAAATTGCTTGGACTAAATGCTGTCTTGAGAATCCCTTGATGGATTATGAAGGCATTTGTGACTTCTCTAAACTGTTTATTCTTTTAAGAAAAGGCTTTTCTCTGAGACTGCTGTTTGTTTGTTATAGCAGATTGATTTTAACTGGTTGCCAAGGCTTTAATTCTGTGATATACAAAATTTATCACTGAGAACATTTACAAAAGGCTGGTCAAAATTGGCTAGTTTCCTAGTTCCTGGAAATGCTGTACTTGTAAATCAAAAACTATCAATGCGTCTAGGTTGTTTTAAGAAACTTTCACTTAAGCTTTGATAAACCATAGAAAATCTAAGTTCTTAATGAAAGCTGTGCTTCTGTTTGGTCTTGGTAGTATCAATGTGTTAACGTTTTCAATTTGTTTTAGGTAATTGATGAAATATATCGTGTATTAAGGTATGTAAATTCTACTAAAGCTCCACAGAGAGCCCATGAAGTCCTTCAGGAGCTAAGGGACATTTCATCAATGGCAATGGAATATTTTGATGAGAAGATAGTTCCAATTCTAAAAAGAAAGTTGCCAGGATCAGATGTGTCAGGACGACTTATAGCAGCGGCTCCAGGTACCTCTTTCAACTGCATTGAGGCATCTTATATTATGCAACTAGTGGAAACTTTCTTGTGCTTTTCTTGTTTCCTCTGGTCTGTCTTAGTGTCGTATTTAAGACCTTCAGTGGGGAAAAAACCAGACAGGTTTTTAATGGAAACTTTTGAATACATACAGAGATTCTGTGATGAAAGTCCTGCCCTTACACAAGGTGTTTTTTGTTCTTGTGCTTGCTTATTTATTGGTTATTGTTTGTTGTGAACTGCTGTGAAGTCAGCTTCAGCCTATGATGATCTCATGAATGAGAGACCTCAAGTCACCCTGTCATCAAAAGCCCTGCTCAGTTCTTGCAGACTTAGGGCTGTGGCTTCCTTGATGGAGTGTCTCCATCTAACATGCCATTTTTCTCTCTGCTGCCTTCTATCTTCCAAGCATTATTGTCTTTTCTAAGTTTAGTCATCTTGACATTTAGAGAAAGTTCATAGGTGATTTGTTGTAGGACCCATTTATTGGCTCTTTTTTGCATCCATAGAATTTTTCCATAAGCACCGTATTTCAAATGCATTGATTTTTTTCTTCCTATCAGTTTTTTTAATCTCCAGCTTTCAGAACCATACTAGAAATTGGAAATACGATAGCACAGAACACCCTAATTGTAATATTCAATTATATAGCTTTACACATGAGGATTTGTTTATTTCCTTCATAGCTGTCCTTCATTTTACTAGCCTTTTGATTTCTTCACTGCTGTTTCCATTCTGATCAATGGCTAAGCCAAGGTATGGAAAATCTTAAAACTATTGCATCATCACTGACTGTAGATGATTATCTGCAGTCAGATCTTCACATTTACAGATTTCACTTCAGTGGATTTGATTCTTCCCAATTTCAGCTCAGTTTAAACACTAAACAGATAGGGTAATAAAATTTATTTGTACCCCACCTTTCTCTACCTCAAAGGGGACTCAAGACGGTTTACATATAGGCTGTTGTTCAGTGCCTTAAAACACATGCAATTCCAATAAAATTAAAATTAATACATATTAAGCATTTAAAATGTTTGAAAACATTACATTCAATATAAAATCATGCCATCCATAATCGTAGTCCAAAGACATTCCATAGTCATTGCCCATATTCAAATCTGTTATTGCAGTGCACTATTCTCTGAAAGCCTGATCCGAAAGCCAAGTTTTTATTTTCCTTCTGAATGTTAGGAGGGAGGGGGGCCAATGTAATGTCACTGGGGAGGGAGTTCCATAGCCGAGGGGCCATCACTAAGAAGGCCTTGTCCCTCGTCCCCACCAGTCGTGCTTCTGAGGAAGGCAGAACCGAGAGCAGGGCCTCCCCAGATGATCTTAATCTGCGAGGTGGTTCATAGGGTGAGATATGTCCAGACAGATAAAACACAGTCTTCCTTACTCCTTTTGTCAATTGGAAACAATTCAATTTCTCTATATTCTGCCCTGACTGCAGCTTCTTGTCCTGAATACAGGGAGTAATTTGTTTATTGATTTATTTAATTTGCTTAATTTTCTCCCACCTTTCTTCTCTGATATGGGACTCAAGGCGCCTAACTGCAAACATGACACAATACAATTAAAACAGAGCAAATGTCTTAAAATATAAATATAAAAGTTAAAAAATAAGTTATATATCGGCACAATGTTGTAGTACACGCAGTTCTTTAAGAAGTAAAGAAGTTTTGGTTTTTACACAATATGCTATAAAGCCAGACTGATTTTCTTCTGAAAATTTTTAGTGTACTCCATTATCCAATGTATGTTCCAGCATCCAGTGATCCCTAATGCCTCTTCCTTGCTTGAAACCAGCTTTTGATATCAGACATTTCTCACTCCATATATGATAAAAGTCTCCATTATTGAATTTTGAGTGTCATTTTGATTGCATAGGACATCAATACTTTTTATTCTATGTTTATGGCAATCCCTGCTGTCTCCTTTCTTGGAGATTGGAAGCTCTTGAGAGCATTTCCAGTTTGTTTTCCATATTTGTTGACAGCTTTTATTTAGAACGAGAGTAGATTCTTTTTCTGTCAGTTGAGGCAGCTTTAATGGATTACTATCTGTTCATAAGGCTTTATTTATCCCAAGCATTTTGAATGTAGCTACCACTCTCTCTTGAAAATTGAATGTTCATCTTCGAATAGTTCTTCCTTGAATGAATGCCATTTTCATCTTTTATGTAGTGTATTGTTTTCATTATCTTTTTATTTATACTTCATCATGTAGTTCAATCCCCTGCTGGTCATATAGCATCCTCACTCTTGGTTTAAATTTCCCTTTGATTTCTCATCTGTAGAAGAGGTCTCTTTATATTCCTGTTACTGACTAACTAAAAAAGTGAATTATCTATTCTGGAAGCTTCCAGGGGGAAAAAAGTAATTCATCTTTAAAACAAGTTGCAGGCAGTGTTTGGAAAATTAGTTTTGAAAATTAATTTAATTTGATAATTTAATAATTAATTTTATTTGATAATATTGAACATTAGTAAGTGTAAAATTATTTCAATACCACCAACACTAATAATTGAACATTTCAATGTATTTCATTAAGTTATTGTTAATTAACTCATCAGTAAAGGTATTCGTGTTGAGCCAGACTAAAATTTACAGAGAATAACATGGACTTTGTCTCTGTTGACCTTAACACTTTTTTTACTGACTCCTTTATAAGGACTTTTAATTCCTTTAAAAAAGTTACTTTCCTCCAACCTGGAAGTTCTCCCCACATGGACTGCAAAGGTCATAATGTGCTTGTTGCCTAGGAATAATGCGAGTGCAGCATGTCTAGGAGTGGACAGGTTGGGTAAGGCATAATATGACAAATCTATAATTACAGCCATATGAGTTCTCTGACTTGACTGCATCTCTTTATTCTTTTCATCTCCCAACAACACATAAATGTCACTGGCTTTTATGTCTTGCTTGTTAAAGATTAATAAGAATGCACAACAAGAAGTGGATAGCTACAAAGCTTAGTCATTGAGTCAGGACAAAAAATTCCTAATTTGAAATTCTTGAGAGTTTCTAAACATATGCAGAACGTTTTTCTGCACAGCTGACTCATCCTTTCCATCCTTTCCACCTCCTCATGCCCAATCAAGAAGTGGTCTTCAAGCATCAGGGGCAAAAATGGGTTTGTATGCAGAAAGCAGCAATCACAAATGGCATACTCAGTTGTTATGATCAGCATTACTCCCAAAATATTTTAAAGGCACCAGATGCCCTCTAGGCTTGGAGGATAGGTCAAGTCCATCCAGGTTATTGCTTGGATAGGAGACTGCCAACGAATATCAGGTACTGTAGGCTAATTTCAGAAGAAGAAATTAGCAAAACCACTTCTAGGTGGTTTGCCTAAGAAAACGCCTATGAAAGGAATGGGTTTGCAACAAGTCAACAAGTTATGTGAAAGCATAGCTACATATGTATCTAACACAGTCAGTATTTTCCATTATTAACTGTATAATTAAAATGATGTGGATGAGAAGGAAGTTAGTAAATAAAGAGAGGGAGAAGCAAAGACAATCAGAAATGGAAGCATATTTTGATGAAAAAAAATTAGGTATCCAAGATCCTAGGACTGTGTGAGTAATAAACTAAAAATTGCAGATTGGTATTACTGGCTAAATAAATTAATTAATTGCAGTATATTTCCAAATATATACACACACCATATTTCAATGCATAATAGTCACGCGCACACCCTTTCGCGGAAGGCTTTTCTCCGCATAATACGTAGTTGCGCCCTTAGTTCACTTGCCTGGATGTTATTGCCCTTTTGGTACTGTGAAGCCAAGTCAAGCCCCACAGCTCCTAGGAAAGAGGGCAGGTGGGGGAGGGGAGTAAATGAACCAACACCCAACCATGAGGCTGTCCCCTTTGAGAATATATCTGCACAGGAGCTCCTTCAAAGGGGTAGCCATTGGGGGAACACTGCTCGCCTGTGTGAAGCATAATTTGCCTGCATAGGCGTTTAGTTTGAGGGCACAGCTATGTGGGTGGGTGAACCAACACCCACCCATATGGCTGCACCCTCACAGGGACTATTACACAATGAAAGAATGGCAGGCCTTTTTTGCTGTGTAATAGTCACCATGGCATAATAGTCCTCTCACTCCCCCCCCCCCCAAATGGGAGGGTGACAATTATGTGATGAAATACGGTGTGTGTGTGTGTGTGTGTGTGTGTAGCTATACACACGCACACACACTGTACATTAAGCAACATACAATAGAGATCAGTCCAGAATATAAAGGGGAGAGTTACTGAAAAGAGTCTTGATCCGCCTGCAACTCCCTCAAGTCTTCAAACACGTCCCTTTATACAAACCCTTAGGGGGCAAATGCCTTCTTTTTAGGTCTAACATTCTTGAAGTGTCCTCCTGGTGGTTTTAAGCAAACTAATCAACCCTCTCTATTTTAAGATACTTTCTTCTTTTTTGTGATTTTCAAAATTCGCTCTGCTCCTGCACAAACCCAGCTATTCTACCCTGACTTTGGCTCCAGAAGGTTCTCTGCTTTTTCCTCCCAATCCTGCTATCTTCTCAAATTAAACAGATTAGTCTGCCTGACTTCTGAGCCATGGGACACATTTCCTCCAATTCCAATACTATTTCTTTTTCTAAGGCAGCAGCCTTCTATCACATGTGACTAAGGGCAAGTTTCTCACCTTGTGTAGTATAATTGCAATTACCTAATTCACTTAATGTATTTTCAGCTTCATTATCAACTAAGGGATTTAAAAGATTGACAAAGACATTATTCAGAAAACAATAGTTATTCAAAAGACAATATTTCGAACTTGACTCGCCCCTTCAATTGTGGAAGCTTAGCAATATTGTTACAGCAAAATATTTTATTTACATGAGATTGGTTTTTTGTTTTGTATACATCTTTAGTCAGTAATCATTTTACTCTTCAGAGGGTAACTTTCTGCATCTTACATTGAAATGCGAAATGCAAACAGCATGTTTAGCATATGTGCAGTTGTTTATCTTGAAAATTCTACTTTCAAATCTCAGGTTTTTAGAAAAATGTAACGTATTTGCAAAGATTGACATTAAAATTTAAAGAAGAATAGAAATTAAAGTCATGGAGGAAGAGAGAAGTAAGAAAACAGAAAAGGTCAGACAGTGGTAGGGATAACAAGGGCATGGAAGCCTGCTAATCTCACGTTTTATCTCATCCCAGGCTGGATATTTCAGTTTCCAGTGCTGTTGTACACACACACACACACACACACACACACACACACACACACACACAACTATTCCAGAATGTGTCTAGTTCATTGGAGCCCTTTAACATGTTACTGAATGTATTTCTGCGAATAGCTCCTTCATGGTTGTGGTAACATTTAAATGCACAATTATATGGGGAAAACTCATGATAATCTGAATATGGGATCAACACATCACCTGGGAAGTATTACATGGGAGGAGTTGAGTTCTGGTTTCATGTGAGAGAACTGTGCAACCAGCCTCTGCTAACATGGTGTGGTCGTTTGTATGCTGCCCTGGTGACATAGAAGTCTTTCACAGAGAAGCACTTTTGGTGCCTCTGGGAGAAAGGTTTACACCAGTGGTTCTCAACCTGTGTCCCCCCAGGTGTTTTGGCCTATAACTCCCAGAAATCCCAGCCAGTTTACCAGCTGTTAGGATTTCTGGGAGTTGAAGGGCAAAACATCTGGGGACCCACAGGTTGAGAACCACTGGTACAAAGTAGTATACACAGTTTGCAATGTGACATTGAAACAACACACTATTAAAAGGGACGTTTTGGCTTAAAGGGCAGCTTGTTCTACTGGCTGCAGGGCAGAGCTCATCTAAGCAGCGTTTTACTCCTTACCTGATAAACAAGAATGTTACAATATTCACACAACACCTGCTGAAGCATTTTGTTTTTTTACTTTGTAGAATAGTAATTTTGCTTGTTTGTAATTACTTAACAAACTTCCATGTCTCTGTTTTGAGATACAGAGTTAAAATCTGACCTAAAGCGGGGGAGAACCTTAAATCTCTTCTTTCTGCAGTTCCAGGTCCTTCTGCAGCCTTAACTACAATGCAGCTCTTCTCCAAACAAAACCCATCGAGGCAGGAAGTTACCAAACTCCAGCAGCAAATTAAAACCAATGGTGCAGGCGTGACTGTGCTGAGGCGTGAGATTTCAGAGCTCCGCACCAAAGTGCAAGAGCAGCAGAAGCAGCTCCAAGACCAAGATCAGAAACTACTTGAACAAACCCAGATCATAGGTGAGCAGAATGCCCGGCTGGCTGAACTTGAGCGCAAACTACGAGAGGTTATGGAGAGCGCAGTCGGGGAGTCCTCGCGGTCAGCACCAAGTGAGGAAGCTCCTCGGAAACGGAAGAAGGCAGTTGAATCCATAGGTTCCCTTAGAAAATCAAAACGGCTTCGGAATAATAAATAACCGTGGGGGAACTGACACCTCCCGGGAAATGCACTGCTTTAGTGGCCCAAGCAGGTTGTCCGGTCTAGATCCTGCGACTCACAGCATGGTGTCATTTCAAGCTGCTGGTTCTTCAGAACACCATAGACTTGAACAGTGACTTCCTCTCATTGCTGAGACATTACTTCCCATTACTTCCCTGCTTCTGTTTGAGTGGGTCTGCTGCACAGGATCACTATAAATTGCCATAGATTTTTACTAACCAGACCTGCTCTATCATGTTCAGAGAAGTTAATTTTCATTTTTCTGTGCAAATTAAAATGAAACCTATGTTTATGCATCTGTTCCCCTGAAATACACCCAAAATTGATTAGAAAAATGTGAATGGATAAACAGCAGGTGTGTTAGTCATTTGAACAGATCTACTTTAAAAATTGTTTTGAGGGGGGAAAGTTGACTTTTTGTTGCAAGTGACCTTGTTTAGAATGTCTGGGGTGTAGTTTATATATGTGAGAGTCTGCATAACAAGTAAAAATGACTTCTTAAGCTTAAAGTATTGGTTATATATAATTTTGTAAATTTAACAAGGGGTACCAGACTAGTTTTCACAAAGGCCTACCCTACTTCTGAGCATCTGGAGCCATATTTTTATCCTGCATGGAGAAATGCATGCATTGCTTAGTCAGCTTGGTAAAGCATTTGCCTGGAGTTGCTGTTAAATTGTTGGCCTCCCCCATCGTTCTATAAAACCATTTCTTGGTTCTTTAGCCATGGCTCTGCATATGCTTCCAGGGCAGCCGTTTCTTTTTCTGTGCAGCCATTTTGTCTCACTTCTGAAGGAAAATATATAAACCAATCTATTCTGCAGCTTCTGCTTGCCTGTAGATAGTAGAGGTGCTCCGCTAGAGCAGGTCTTCCTTTTTGCCTGTGGGTGTCCCAGGATACACTACTGAGGCCTGTCAGAGGTTGAGAAAGACTGTTAAGTGTTGGACAAACAACACAGGTTTGCTAAGACACGGTTCAAGTTTTAAAAGTCTCTGTTGACAAAGACCTTAATGTTCTGTGGCAAGAACTCTCTGTAGTACTGTATGCTAGCTTTCTTTATCCTAAAAAGTAAATTGACTTCAGACAAAAGAAAAGCTTTAATTTCTTTGCACTCCCTTTGTTTTGAAGTTGTAACTGGAAAGCATGTCTTGCACTGTACAGTCTCTCTGGACTTGTCACTTTAACAACCTCAAGTTGTAATGTACAGTGATTTTTCCCCAGTCGTATTATTTTTAAATTTACCAACCAATAGCACTGTCCATGGTTGAAATTGGTGTTACAACTAAACAATGTAGCTTTGTTCCCTGACTGTTACATTTTGCTCTTAAATCTGCTGTTGTTAATTTGGATTTTTGGTACAACTGAATAGGGAATTGAAAAATAAATTTGAGTGGTAGCTCAAAAAGCCACTCCTGGCACACGTTTTGCTGAAATACCTTGGTTTAAAGTGAGAGCTTAATACTCATTTTTATTTGTCAAGGAAAAGTTTTCCAAAAGAATGTGCTGGGTTTTTTAGATGTTAAAAGCCTATCAACTCATAATTTGGAACAAGTTTTCTGTAAAACAAAACATTACAAATTGATGTCAAAAGTTTGGAGTGTTTTATTTTTAAAACCATTCTTGTTTTGCTATCTTAAGGCCTTCTTACTTTGTGTGTTTTTACAATTTTGTTTAAAATGGGAGCAGGCTATTGTATCTTAGCAGTGGGTATACACTGAATTGTCTCAAGGATAATAATAACAGTTTTGAAACATTCATCTGAACATTTTTGTTATTTTAAGAAGCTCAGTAGCACCAATCAGCATCACTATAATTCAAGAGGTGATTTTACAGATGTATTCCAGATCTGCCAAAAAAATTCCTCTGCAGTTACTGTGGCGATTTCTTAGATTCTAAGATGTCATTGATGGTTAAGGCACACCAATTTTATATATAGAAAAACACGTGCAGTTCTGAGGTGCACCCCATTTTAGAGACATTTATATTAGGGAAAGTGTCTTAGAATGGAAGAACTAGAGTATGTCAAAACTTCTTATGTCTGGTTTTCATTTGTTTCCTTGTTCTGTCAACTTGGTGATGGTTATGAAGACAGATATACCGGATTCTGTCCACCCTTCCCTGTGAAACAGCCAGACAGTATTTGGCAAGATATATTTAGACAATATCATAAAACAGAGATAGCCTCCAGATATTATTGAATTGCAACACTCATAATCCCTGGCTCTGGGTTATATGAAGCAAGGCTGATGTACATCATCTATAACTGGAAAAGTTGATAATTCCATCATAGAAATTTGATTACCTACATGAAAGCTCTCAGCAAGTCTTACGGATGAGCAATTAGAAGTGGGTGCAGTTCCCATAATCCTTCACAATGGGTTGAGTGTAGAACAGTGGTTCTCAGCCTGTGGGTCCCCAGGTGTTTAGGCCTACAACTGAAGCGGCAGCTCCCCCTGTGGCTGGAATCGAGCTGCAATCCAGCATACCCTCATAAAGCTGGAAAAAAGCTTGGGCATAGTTGGAATGTTAAATTGCCTCTACGTCTGTCTATATATGTTGTATGTCTAACTGGCATTGAATGTTTGCCATGTATATGTGCATTGTAATCCGCCCTAAGTTCCCTGTGGGGTGAGAAGAGTGGAATATAAATACTGTAAATAAATAAATAATAAAATAAACTCCCAGAAATACCAGCCAGTTTACCAGCTGTTGGGATTTCTGGGAGTTTAAGGCCAGAACATCTGGGGACCCACCAGTTGAGAACCACTGATGTAGAAGGACAAAATATTTGGAGGGCCAAAGTCCTCCTGCCGCTATTGTTCCATTCACGCCTATATCACTACCTTTAAAGAAGAATCTTGATAATTTGGTGATTTTGATTGTCTCCCATGAAAATTACATAGAAGGGTAGTTTTAAGTAATGTTATGAGGATAGGAGGACTGGAGTCTATCAGAGGTCAGCAAAAATGTGGTTCTTGTTCTGAATGATTTTTCTTTTGATTGAATGATGAACTTTCTCACTGAAGAAATAAGAAAAGCAATTATGTTGTATTAATATAAGCAATACATCTTGAAAAAGTAAAACCATTTCAGTTTCCATGGTGCCAAAATTTCAGGTTCTTTTCTGCCCCTTTTGATGTTCAAAAAAGCCAGTGTATGGTTGCCCCTCTGCATCCAGATTCAAGCATCTCTGAGTCTTGAAGTTTTTAAAAAATGAAAAACAACGTTGATTTTGCCATTTAATGTTAGAAACACTATTTTTTATCACACACTATTGTGTACAGTGGTATTTCAGTATCCTTGGATTTTGGTATCCATGAGGAGTCCTGGAATCAAACCTCAGCAGATATCAAGACAAAAAAAAGGATATTCAGGTCAGTGTGGTATGTTCCTTTAAAAAAAAGAAAACACATATATTCCTGGGCAACGGTCATATGTAAGTATAAACACACACATTATTGACATCACTGGTAGATGAGATACATGTTTGTGCAAGTGTGTATACGTGCATTCAAGTCACCTGTTGATTTATGCAAGGCCCATGAATTTTGCAGGGGTTTCTAAAGCAAGGAATACTCAGCAGTGGTTTTGCCAGTTTCTTTCTCTGAAGTGTAGCTTACAACTCTGTTATCTGTTTGCAGTCTGCCATCCAAGTACTAACCAGGATGGGTCCTGCTTAGCTTTGAAGTTCAGATGGGATTGGGTGCCTTGAGGATGTGTCAGGCATATTGCGTCTTTGAATGTGGTCATTTCATTTTGCCATCAGTACAAGGTAATATCCACCAGTCTGAAATTTTTCTGATGGTCGTGAAAGAAAGGGAGATGAGGTCAGCTGCTGTAAAGGTGAAAAACTCATGTCTAGAAACATATCAAGTCAAAAACCCAGAACTGCCTGGTAACTCATGTCCACGGTTTCAGGCAAGGTTCTTTGCAAGTTCACCTTGGAAGGCCCTGGTATTCTTGGTGGTGCCATTTCAACTAGCCACCACCTCTGCCCCAGTTTCACTTTTAAAATCCTTCAAGTCGGGATGTGTCTTTTCCCACATAAAGTGATTTAAAACACTTTTTTTGTGTCAGGAGTAACTTGAGAAACTGCAAGTCCCTTCTGGTGTGAGAGAATTAGCCATCTGCAAGGATGTTGCCCAGGGGCCACCCAGATGTTTTACCATCCTGTGGGAGGCTTCTCTCATGTCCCCACATGAGAAGCTGGAGCTGACAGATGGGAACTCATCCCGCTCCTCGAATTGAAACCACCAACCTTTCGGTCAGCATTCCTGCCGGCACAAGAGTTTAACCCCTTGTGCCACTGGGGGCTCCAAAACACAAATTAATAGCCTGTTATTTTGTGTTTCACCTGGAAAAGGAAGATATACTACAATCACAGGCTAATTTTCAGCTGCCTATCATGCCCAACTTAATGAAAGGTGTTTAAGAGCAATATATTTTACTGCTATGAATGTGGATGTTTTAATTTTGTTGTTTATTTCTCTGGGAGAAAATGGGAGTGCAGTAAGGAAAATGATTTAAAACTATTTAGCTTCTTCCAAAAAGATACATGTGCACTATTTTCTCCAGGGAGATGAGTTAACAAACAAGGTCACCTCAGTATTGAGGGAGTAATACCACATTTCAAACTTCGTCACTGAGGAAAGTACAAGAAAGCAGGTGAACAAGCACTACATATTGAAGTAACAAAACATACATATTTAAGTATTGGAGCATTTCATCTTATGCCGTCTTCAGCAGCTCTGAAAATAGTTTTATGCCAAGTGCCAATTACAGATTATAGAAAACAAGTTCCAAATTGGATGGATGATGTCCAATACCATTTTCCACACTGATGTGATGGGATGCTAGGATGCCAAGTCCAAATCTAAAAGTTCGCTGTTTCCCTAAAGGTTTCATTTTGTACATGCAGTAGGATGTTATTCTGATCACCGATGAGCCAGATTGTAATCTTTTGGATAAGAATGCCTGGTTGATTCCGGATTTGCAGTTCCTGAATACAATCTATAGGAAAATCTGGATTATTAACAGGTGCAATGAGAGAATCAGAATCATAGAGTTGGAAGAGACCTCATGGGCCATCCAGTCCAACCCCCTGCCAAGAAGCCGGAAAATTGCATTCAAAGCACCCCCCGACAGATGGCCCTCCTGCCTCTGTTTAAAAGCTTCCAAAAAAGGTGCCTCCACCACACTCCGGGGCAGAGAGTTCCACTGCTGAACGGCTCACACAGTCAGGAAGTTCTTCCTAATGTTCAGATGGAATCTCCTTTCTTGTAGTTTGAAGCCATTGTTCCGCATCCTAGTCTCCAAGGAAGCAGAAAACAAGCTTGCTCCCTCCTCCCTGTGACTTCCTCTCACATATTTATACATGGCTATCATGTCTCCTCTCAGCCTTCTCTTCTGTAGGCTAAACATGCCCAGCTCTTTTAGCTGCTCCTCATAGGGTTTGTTCTCCAGACCCTTGATCATGTTAGTCACCCTCTGGACACATTCCAGCTTGTCAATATCTCTCTTCAATTGTGTTGCCCAGAATTGGACACAATATTCCAGGTGTGGTCTAAGCAGGGCAGAATTGAGGGGTAACATGACTTCCCTGGATCTAGACACTATACTCCTATTGATGCAGGCCAAAATCCCATTGGCCTTTTTTGCCACCACATCACATTATTGGCTCATGTTTAACTTGTTCACGAGGACCCCAAGATCTTTTTCACACGTACTGTTCTTGAGCCACGTGTCCCCCATTCTGTATCTTTGCAGAGTGCCCTTAACCATATATTTGCACACACTCTTCTTGTATTAAGTTGCTGCATAAAACAGAAGTGTTCCTCTTCCACCAAAAGACAAGCAGCTAAACAACAGGAACAATGGCAGCCAAAGAAAGCAGTCACATTTCATTTCTCCATTGCAGCCATACAATTACAGATTCAGTCTGTTTCTGCTCCATGTGAAGCGAAATGTCCCAACACTGGCAGAGTTCAGCAGTTCCAAGCAGAAAGTCTCATGCTGTCAGGTGACAGGCACATGTGCTAATGGAGCCAATACTTTATTTTGTTCTTGAGACATGAGTATAAGATGACAAACAGTCTATTCATGAGAGTAACTAGGTCAAGGGTGGGCAAAGTGTGGCATGCAACCCCTTAGGTTTCTTGTTTGCAGCTCCCAACCAAGCTCTGCAGATTCTACCCGACTGCACCATTAACAATGCAAAGAAAGAATTGAATTACCTTGAAGTCTCCAGTGGTAATCCAGTTCTTAAATAGGCTGTAGTGCCCCCCTCAAACACATTTGCTGTGGGAAAACACCTACATTTCAAATCAGAAGCTGGTTTCCAGGCACTCCACTCCTGTTGTTTTGCATTTTTGGCAGAGCACACCCAAACTTGCCAGAATATCCAAAAGTGGGTGATAAAGTTGCCACAGAAGAAAACAAAGCTCAAAACAAAGAGGAAAAATACTCCTCTATGGAGTAATATGAATGTGGAAAGAAAAATTCAGAGTTATTTATTGCTCCAGTGTTTTAAAAAGTAGTCCAGCACAAGCACCATCATGTCAGTCTGGGCAAACAATGGAAAAATACCATGAGACAATGATCCCCAGCTTTGCTCCTCTCAAATATTTTGGACTTCAGCTCCCAGACACCCAGCCAGCATGTTCAATGGTCACAGATTCTGGGAATTGAAGACTGAAACACCTGGAAAGTCAAAATTCGAGAACCAAGTGTATACTAATATACACTTTTCACACAAG